GACGTGTATATATATATATATATATATAATTCATTTTAATTTCTATTATTTAGAATACACCAGATCTGTTATCCAATTTTGATTAGTCACTCAACATTGACCCTCTAACATCAATTGCTAAATGAAAAAACCAAAAAAAAAAAGTACAAGAATAGTAAAATAAATATAAGACTGTAAGAGAACTAAAACGATATTAATATTATAGGCACCAAAAATATTTTTTAAGCCCTCATTTTTATTATTGAAAAAGTGTTATTTTAACTTGTACAACTTGAATATTCTTTATCACTAAATAACTAGCTTGTTCTTGAAAAAAATAAAAGAACTACAAGTCTCATAAACCTATCTCACTTGTTGACATCTTTGTAAGTCCCTGGTCTCTCTCCCATTGTTCTTCATTTTCTTCCTCTTCCCGCCAGAGTCTACAGTACCAACAATAAAACTGTTTTTTTTTTTTTTTAATATTACATATAAACATTTTGTAGTAGAGGTCTTGCTAATCTATGTTGCCACATGTTTCTATATTTCTATACATGAAAAATCGAAGCCACCATATTGCAGAGGAGCCAAACTGTGTGTGTATCTATCTCTTTTGGTAATTCATTTTTCTAATGCAATAGGCAAACAGAGAAGCGTAAATAAGTGGGTAAGCAATGAGCACCACAGCCACAAGGCTTAATCTATCATGCCGAAACCCATAGTAATCTCTTAGAAAGCCCCCAGCCACAAGGCTTAATCTATCATGCCGAAACCCATAGTAATCTCTTAGAAAGGAACCAACTGGTTTTTTCTCCCCAAATATGAGTATCTCCTTCTCCATGTCTCCATATTGTGAAGTTAAGAGGCCATTCAAGGACCAAGCAGTGGGACAAATCCAGTAGCACCAAACCCACCATTTAGGAATTTTCTGCATATATAAAACATAGTTAGTATCTCAGGCTTTGAATTATCATGTCTTGCATGAACTGTGGACATTCACCACCCATCAAATAGATCAATTCAACAATGGAATGAATTACATTTTGGGGAAGGCTAAAATTTATTTGTAAAAGAAAGAATTTGATTAGGATTGGATTACTCAAAAGCTTGGTCTTTTGTCTTAAAAACGTAGATTTAGACCTATCTCAATCTTATAAAATTAATTTGAAAAGTAAGGGTTGTCTCAACACTTGCATAGTATGTATTTTGACCTCATCTTTAGGTGGTGAAACTTGAATTTTTTCGAATACATCTCACATCTAATACTATTGGGCTTGATATATTAATAAATGATGGGCAAGGCTTCTTAATGAATCTAGGATAGACCGTGACATTATATTAAGAATATGGATTTGAAGTTATAAGTTGAGAGTTGTTCTCACTTGTATATGTATTTTGACATAATTTCTAGTTGATACGGGACTTTGATTTTATTTTTTTTTCCAATAATTTGCATCAATCTGTGCTTTTCTCCACATGTCCACTTTGGATCCAAATTCACTCGAAATAAAAATCTTGGATGCAAATATTATGAAGGTACAAATTATTAGAAAGAAATTGTGGTAGATTCAAAAGACTTACCGGTCCTGGCATGAGGAATCCAGAAAAGAGATTGAATATGGTGTAGACTGCAGTTGACAATACCGAAGCTATATCGAGATTTACGCTCAATGACATTATCATCATTCCAAGATATACAAAGTACAAAAATGTACAGAAAGTGGTGTAGAAGTACCAAAACACTTTCTGAACTGACCATTCGAAACCTATCATTGGATATGTGATACCCACATATAAAATTGATTGCACTAAAATGTATGGTATTTCAATGGCCACCTACAATAAGAAAAGAATATCACTGATTTAAGAATTACTGATTTTGCAATCAAATAAATACCACTTGAATTTGCTTTAAGTAACTGCAAACCTGTGCAAATGAGTAAGCTGTAGACGAGTACATTCCAGCAAATTTTTCTCGATACAAGACAGCACGCTCGGTAGCCACATATGGTAGAATTGTTGAACAGTAATTTAGACCCAAGAATATTACAGCAATATACATTGATCCAAGTACGTTGAACAAATCCTGCTGATTGTTTCTTTAACCATAGAAAAAGTATATATCAGCACTTTCATCTATGCAACTTCAAGTTTAACGCTACACTAGAATCATGTAAACACTATTATTGTCTGCATCATAAAATTCAGTGTAATTAAGAATGTCTTATGTTGATTGTGCGTGGCATGTTTTTGATATAAAATATATGTTCTTATCTTCTCAAAATGTGATAATAAGGCATGCTATTCATGGAACTTAGTGGAGTAAGTATAATTTTCCAGATAAAAAGAATGAGTTTGTTTTGTGTGCAAATTATAAGTATATGAAAACAAACTTACATTTCATTCCCTTTCTGCCAAAATACTGCCCCAAATATTATTGCACAAACAACCATGAAAATGAAACGTGTTAAGTTGTACTCAGGACTTCTCCAATAGGACAAGTGTTGCTTCCATAGGCATGCCATGAACTGCCCCAAGTTATTTTGCGGGAAGCGAGTTGAAAAGTGCAAGTCTCTTGAACCTGGCGGTGGTTCACTTAACTCTCTCACCAATTCAAGGGTATCCCTACAAACACAAACAGTAATTCAAAAACTTGGGATCAGTGATCTTTAAAAATTTATGATCATTACCATTACGACCAGTTATGGCCCATTTATATATTTTTTCTTTGTGAAATGGACAACAGCTGATTGGATGCTCACCTATAAAGGTGTGACTCTTTATATATCTGTGCAAAATCTACTTGAAGTTCTGCTTCTACAGATGCAGAGGTAGCTTCCAACATCCAGGTTGCAGGATTATAATTGTCCTTGATCTTTGGCACCCCAGGTATATTCTGATGGACAGTAAAATTACTTAGATACAAATTTCAGCAACATAAGTGAAGGAGTGCGAGACAAAGGTACTGTGTACTTTTGTTATAATTGTCCTTGATCTTTGGCAGCCCTAAGGGCAGTTTTTGTTATCAGTCACTTGCATGTTTAAGACAATTGCAAGACAGGGACATTATAAAATAAGATGATCATTGATCTGTCTAGAACCTCAAATGCTATGTACTTTGCTGCTGGTTTGAGCATACCTGAAAATAATCAATCAGTCTACTTGAATGATGGCCTAGCATTCCACTATAAATAATCTGTCCTCCAGATTTCATTAGAATCAACTGCATGAAAAATAACTTATTTTTAGTATATATTATTTTCCTTGTCAACATGACAGAGAAGTTAAAAATATCATGCATTTCATTTCTATATTTTTAAAGAAGGAAATCAATTTCTTACTTTGTGGCACTTACTTCCAATTCTAGAAGCAAGAGATCAACATATTTAATAAATCACAGAAAGAGAAGCATACACTGATTTATTTGTAGAGTTTTAGATTTCAGTAAATATACTATCTTATTCTGTACCTAAAATAGAGACTATTATATATTTTAAACTGTTATTATCAACAGAAGGCACTTTGGACTACCTCATCAAAAGTCTCAAATATGTCAATGCTCGGTTGGTGTATAGTGCAAACTGTAGTCCTGCCAGTGGCAACAACATTCTTCACTGCCCGCATAACAACGGCAGCTGCTCGAGCATCCAAACCAGATGTAGGTTCATCCATAAATATTATTGATGGATTGGAAACAAGCTCCACTGCAATGGTTAGTCTTTTACGTTGTTCGGTAGATAAGCCACTTTGGCCAGGGATGCCAACTAAACAATCCTTTATATCATCAAGTTCAATTGTTTCAAGGACTTCTTCAACAAACTTCTGCTCAGTAGATATGTATAGAAATTAGCAAGTTATAAGATACAATTGTTATCTAGGGAAATAGAACCATGGTGCAAGTGATAAGCATGCCATACCCCTTTTGTGACCGAATCAATTTCTGTTGGCAACCGCAACCAAGCTGAGTATGTGACAGATTCTTCAACAGTTATATATGGAGAATGTATGTCACTCTGCTCACAGTAACCTGAAACTCTTGCAAATGTCTTTTGCACTTTGGGGTATCCTCCAATTCTTATATCTCCTTCAATGATACCTCCAGTTTTTCTTCCTGAAAGAACATCCATCAGAGTAGTCTTCCCTGCCCCACTCACCCCCATCAGTGCAGTGAGAATTCCTGGCCTAAAGGCTCCTGTGATATCACGGAGCAATTGTAGCCTTTTCTCATCAGAACCATGTTTTTTCATCTCCTGTTAAAAATGACAAAGTTAAAAATCTTAATTAACAATGACAACCTTGTCAATGACATCAAATCATGACATACAAGACGTGTGTGGTTATTACCGGAGGAATGTCAACAAAATATTGGACATCCTTGAATGCTATCGTCAGTGGCTCAAACGGCAGGACCATTTTCCCTGCATGACCAACCATGCAAAAGATACCGAAATTCCTTATCATTTTTGCTTGAAGGAAAAAAACTCATCTTTGAGATAATTTATCATAGAAGTTCTATTCACCTGTGTTTTGATTTTCCCTTGTTGTGTGGCCAATATCAACAGTAACTGACCTCAGTTCCACACTGTTGCTTTTTTCTTGTCCCCTTAGTTGAGTGAGCCTCTTCTTTGAGACTAAAGCTCGAGACATCTTAGGCTCTGAATACATTTCACATAAAGTCAGTGGATTGAACAAAATAAAATGACAGTTTGATTTTTTTCCTTGTATTAACTTAGATAGGACTTACGTTTTATGTATGTTAATGCCAAGACAAATCCAAAATCAAATAGGATTGTGAAACCAAGTAGAGCTCCAACTGATAGCCAGTAGAAGTTACTGTCAAAGTCTAAACCATGACTTCTGAGAACCTCATTTCCTACAGTGATATTTCCCTCTTTGATCTTCAAATAAAAAAGAAAGTAATTCAGATATATGCATATGACTGTGATCTATCATGAAGACGAACGAATAATTATCTTAGAAGATACCTTTTGCCAGCGAGGACCAAGAAATTCATTTAATGTTATTCCTATTTCCCCATATGACATGGGGGAAAGCCAAAATCCCCACCTCAACCACCATGGTAGTGATGCTGCAGTGAATAAACTCCATGAGACATGAGTAACTTTGTAATTAGTACAACATCTTATAGCTACTAGCTAGAGACTATAGAATTTCTTACGCCGAGGAAGAATAAAGCCACCAAACAAGAACATCAGTACTAAGACCAAGGAACCAACTGTTGTAGCTGCAACATCAGTTTTGAAAACTGAAGCAAGGCAACGGCACATGGAGGTTGATGACATATGCAAAGTGACAAGCAAAAGAAACTGGCGGAGGAACCTGATCCATAAAGAAAAGAGATAAGAAAAACTTGCAAAGTTAAAGAAAAGTAGGCTATTTTGTGCCTGCATGAAATTTAACATAGTACTTGCCTTGTTATTTCAGGGCTGTAGCCTATAACATAATATGTAACTGATGTCCAAACAATAGAATCAAGTACAGAAAACGGAATCTTTAGAATCGCAGCCGGAAGGCAGTAAGCCCAAGCTGGATAGAGATAGAATGCCTTCTGCTTATCAACTACAGGGAGTCTAGTAATAGTCATGATCAACTCTGCAACGCCATTAGTCATGAGGCGGACAAGTGTATAGTACAATGAACCCAATAAATAGTTTGATCCTATCAAATCCACAGCCAGCTGAGTACGTAAGAACACTGTCATTGTTATGATTGCTGTGATTGTAAGCTGCCAAATGAGAAAAGGAAACAAGTAAGATCAAAGTTACCGGTTGATGTATTCAGGTGGCATTTAGCTTAGCTGAACTTGATAGTTGATACTAACCTGTGCAGTTTTAAATACATAGATAAACGAGTTTCGTTTCATGAGAAGAATCTCCCTCTTCATACAAGCTTGAAACAGATCCCATTTTCCCAATGAGTACTTGCTAAACGATAAAGCATTTTTATGGGATTGAGATTTATCATCTGGCTGTGAGAGCTCGTCATTTAACATTCTTCCCCAATAACTTGATTTGAATATTTGAGAGAACTCATCCACTGAAATGTATCTGTAAGGAATATCTGTGCGGTACCAGTATTGCCTTTGATCCTTCTTAGAGATCACCTGTACAATACATAGTTGAAATTTAAGATTTGTGAGGCTATGTTATAAGGCCAAAGTGGATTAAACAAGAAGGAAAATTATGAGCTTTGGCTCAATGGTAGCTAAGTACACAACAAAGGTAAGGGCCATCTAGCAATGCTTGATTCCCTATGAGACAAAAAAAGAAAAAGGAGGGGTCATTTGTTATCTCACCTCTTGAAGAAAGTCTGCCACTCCTTTTCTTTCTGGGCACCAGAAACCACAATCCTTAAAAAATTGGAGTGCTTGACTGCGGGGGCCATGGTATACTATCTTCCCCTCTGCCATCAATATAAGATCATCAAATAACTCGAAGGTTTCAGGTGCCGGTTGAAGCAGTGAAAGCACTGCGGTTGCATCTGTGATGTGCACCAATTGCTGGAGACATGTAACTATTTGAAAGGTCGTGGAGCTGTCCAAGCCGGTTGATATTTCATCCATAAAAAGAGCTTTTATTGGACCCACAATCATCTCTCCTGTCATATGATTTGGAGAAATATTATATAATATATGAATAAATTGTTTATTTGCACCCTAAGCAGATGTTTCACTAGCCTTCAATTTATCAATGATCACTCGTCTAGTAAAGAGGCGAGGCTTTCATATATTTTCAGACAGGAGAAATTCTTTTAGTTAGTAGTACAAAGAGAATATTGAGTTCTGAATTTTTTCAATTACAACAAAATGACATAGAAAACATTATTCATCATTGCACATACCTGTAGTTAGCCTTTTCTTCTGTCCACCAGAAATACCTCTATCTAGTGCATCACCTACCAGTATGTCAGCACAGATATCCAGTCCAAGAATCTAGGATATCAAAAGTTTGTATTCACATGTCAAAAAAGATAGAAAAATCTTAAATGAGCCACTCAATAACTATGTACTATAACTCAGCCCTGCTTGAAGAAGATTTACCTTTAAAACGTATTCTGTTTGAAGATTTTCACTTTGTCCTTCAACTGAAATTGCCTGCAAAAGTCTTGTTATTTTCTTTGTCCACTGGTTGCTTCGTAATTATGACATATGAGTTGTCCATACTACAATTACCTTCATATAGGTATCAATATCTGGGTCAGGGATGATTCCTTCTTCTTTTTCTCTCCTGGTGATTTCAGCCACTAGATCTGCAATACAAATGATATATATATATGAATGCTTACACATGGTATGGTATTAGTTACAATTTTGTGGAGTAATATAGGATTGAGCAAGTAAGAAACATTACCAGCTCTGCCTCCAACACCTTGACAGCGTGCTGAAAAGTCAATTGTTTCTCTCACTGTCATTTCTGGAACATGCAGGTCATACTGGCTTATGTAAGCTGATGTTTTTTGAGGAACAAATTCATTTAGCTTGTAACCATTGTAAGAGATTTCTCCAGAAACCTGAAGATAAGTAAAAGCAGTAGAATATCAGAGGGATTGCAGTATAGGGAAATTCAACTGGCTCAACTCCATATATTATTAGTTTTGAAAGATTTTGGAATTTCATCAAGTATGAAGAAGCATCAATTGCAGTGCAAGGCATATTCCTGAATAGTTTAAGTTGTGCTTAAACATGTTTTTAATATGATTATGAGAACTCAGATACAAAATGTTGCTTGAACTAAATGAATTTCTCCAGTGATTTCACTATGTTGTTTTGTGTTTAAAATACAGACCTTGAGAGATTGCTCTAGTTTTCCAGCCAGTGCCATTAACAAGGTCGTTTTCCCACAGCCTGGTGGACCAAGAAGAAGAGTAAGCCTGCATTCAGAACCATCTTTGATAAGTTAACAATTTGGCCCCTTTTATTGTAAGCTTTATCATTTTTTTTTATTTTATTTCAATCACAATACAATATCCATACTTGATAGCCACTCGGGAATTTTAATGCTAAAAGACTTTACAAGCACATGCTTGAACGCATGAATACTTATTTTGTCAGTAACTCCAAAAAAAAACAAGAATTCTAGCAACACTTTATTATTGTCTGAACTTTGGGTGGGACTCATACTCATTAAATAACATACACACAAAATAAATTCACTTACCTTGATGGCTTTATGATACCACTGACATCATTCAGAATGCTTATTTCTGCTCCTTGAGAATTACAAGATATAGTCTTCATGAATCCCTGTTTAAGTGATAAATTTAGCACATTTTAGGATGAACAGATGCAAATATTTCCTTGCTTTTTCGCATTTTAGCTTGTGTCTCTTAATATTGGTTTATACATTTTCGGTTTCGTAGGACAGTTACTTACTTAGGTTCAAGGAGGAAGCATACTTACAGAAAGAGAGCTAGAAAAAGAGTTCCATAGAGTTGGGAGTGGCTTCCCTTGAACAACCTCACATTCTGCTGCAACATGCAGGTTCTTGTACTTGACCTCCACAGTGGGTAACTTCACATTAACTCTGAAAAACAACCAATTTGTCAATTTTTGAAATAAAATGCCTATATCAGCTTGTACCCCATCCCCCATCCCTTCATTTAACTGAGTGATGCAAAGTGACTCTAGTAATTAGAAGTTTTTCTCTACACAATCAAATTGGGAAACTGAATTAAAAAAAAAAAAAATGGGGGAAAACAAAAAGGAAGTTTCTAACATCAAATAGAATTGGATACCATACCAAAAACATGTCATCAAGAAGACAAATATGAAGAATTGTCACTAGTCAGCACACCACTCTACCAATTGCTCTAACAAAATGTTAACCCTACTTTGTCTGTATCAACACAAAGAACATGTTTTGCAGCTTGATCAGTCAAGGCTAGAGTAAATACATACCTTTCCATCCTTTCTCTTAGTTTCTGCAGCAATTGGAGGTTATCATTCTCAATGTGCTTGATGAGCCTGTCAATGAACAAACGCTTTTCCACTGCTCCAAGCTTGGTAACATCAACCACCCTTTTGCCATCTGCTTCTCTGCTGCTGCTTCCACTCTCCTCCTGACTGACATCAACAAAAGAAGTCTTAATCCTTTTGAAAGTGGGTAGTTTCTCTATAGCAGCCCACTTGGACTGAAGCTCCTTATCTTCCTCCACAAACGAATCTGCATCTCTATCAAAGGTCAACACATGACCTTGGTTTCTTCCTCTTGGAGTTAACTCCATTGCAACTGAACTGGGGTTTGCACTTTTGCTTGAAGCTCTTAAACCTCAAGCTCCTCACACTCACAATCACAGATATGATGTCAGAAGTTGCCAATGATCGTTACAGATTGTGGGGGGATGCATGTATGGGGGAAAGAAAAGTCTTCACGAACAGGGAAATCACTTGTAAGAAGCTCCTAATTATAGCAGCCACCTCTTGAGTGGAAACAATCCAATTTGGTCATATGATTGTCAAAGGTTCATTCACTTGCCATCAATGACATGTTTTGTTACATCCACAAGACCAAACAAGGGTTGTTGGTGCTTGTTTAATTTGTTGTTGCTTCTCTCATTCCTAGAGTTATTATTATTTTATGATCTGTTCATTCATCATTGACCAGCACAGAAAGTCCTTGTGCAGATTGTTTTTTCCCATAAAACCATTTTTTTAGTTCATGTCATGACAACATGTTATCTTTGAATTAAAGGCTGTAATTGGAAAAGTGATTACTGCTGGGAGTTGTTAGTGTTGCTATCTTTTACTTTCTCTCTTAACTAAAATTTTAGTGGTGATAACCCACATTTGTCTCTCCCAAAAGCACTTTTTTCTTGTGATTTTTATTTAAAAAATATTAAAAGTTAACTTCAATGTTTAATCAACGTTCGTTAAGCTTAGGTCCACCAAAGGATATTTTACGAAATTACGATGCCTAGCTATAAGTACTTTTTGGTATGAAGACGCCAAAGATGCAGCATCAATCAAAGCACACTTGGCAATTTTTTACTAAGGTGGAGCCATGGATTTTCCATAGAGCAGACTAGGAAAGAGGAAGGAAAATCATCATCATTTAATTTCCAATTATTAATTAACGTAATGCTATGTGCCCGAGGAAAATGTGATGTTATTTATTTGTTTCTTAAAACAGATAGAAGTTTTTGTTCAACAAAAGATCAAATTTGAATTAAAATTATCCTCTTGAGTGATGCCAAAAAATCTTGAGCGAATTCATGTAAATTCCAGCGTGAATTTGTTGAATAGCTAATTGTTATTATTATTATTATAATAATGCATGTGGACATTCAAAGTTCTATGGCGGCTGGTTGAATAAAAATATACTTAAAATAGCCATCGACTTTATTGTTTTCAAATTGGTGACTCATCTAGATATCATATTCAAGATTTTTGCTGAACTTATAGTACCTGTAATGTGAAAAGCACATGATGTATTCTATCTTCAAATGCTGCTTCGTTGGTATTAGTATTATTACCTGCACAAAATTCTAAAATCATACAACAATTATAAATCACTTCGGAGGAGGATTCCATTGTTCAATAATTCAATTAAATTTTAATTTAAATACAACAACTATGTAAAGTTTATTTTACATTATTATTCAATCGGAAATATTATGTATAATTATATTATTTTCTCACTTACGTTTTTCTAAATCTCATGTATGATTATGATCATTATGAATGTGTGAGGGAATAATACGATTACAATATACACATATTAAAGTGTTTGATGAAGTTTATATCATCTAAAAAATATTAACTATTTAATACATCAATGCGAATTTTTAAATCCTTAAAGAGGAATATGTATAGTTACGACGTGTGCCTGTCTAAATTACTCGAGTGGTGACTAATTAATTTTACATTTTTTTTGTATAAAGACTAATTTTATATTGCTAGTACATTATAATAGAATTTTTAGTTTAATTATTTCCCCCCTTGATTTAAATAATTTATTTCTCCTCTTTCATTCCGTGTCATAGGGGATTATCATATGGCATGGCTGCATGGGCCACCACCATAACTAACTTTGACTTTTCCAACCCTTTGTAGGGAAATATCCTTTTCTTAATCATTTCTTAATAATTTAATATCAAAGTATATATTAAATATCGATTTTATAAATATTATTTCAAATTATTCACAAATTAACTCCAAACGTGTGGTTCAGCGATAAGGGTTGACGCTTAAACAAGGTCAATGGTTCGAATCTTGCCTTATGTATGCAGCCGCGTTAAATCTATCTTGGGGCCAGCTATCCCACCCCTTTGAGGTGCCTCCAACGTAGCGAGCAGATTCGTCACTGCTATCGGCCCTAAACACTCTAGGAACGAACAAAAGAAAATTAATTTCTAAAGTTAAAAAATTACAATATATATATAATTTTTTAGGGAAAAAAAAGGAATACTCTTCTAAAATTAAAATTCGTGATAAACACTTTGAAAATTATAATTGGCCCCACTCCCTATGAGGGATGGTTGTCTTTTTCTTTCAGCCTAGAGCAGTGGGTACCTGGCCTTGCTGTCTTGTTTCAAATTTTATTATTTTATAATCACAACTTGTTACACAGTTAATGAAATTTACTACAACATAACATTACCACGCATAACATGTCCCTGAAAAAAATAATAATAATTAGAAGAGGAAATAAGTGAGATTGTCTGACTTGGATCTTTCACAGCTTAGTTAAGTTGGGTTTTTAAGAAATAAACTAGGTTAATATTAAATAATATTACCTTTAAGTCTTGTTAATAAAAAAACATTATTAAAAAAATCTACTAAAGTTAACGAGACATATTCTTCAACATAGATTATCAATGAAGTTGGTGATAATTCATATTAAGAATATAATTATAAAAAAAATTAAATGAATATTTTTGTTAAAAAAATTGATTAGAAGGTCTGATTTTAAGTTACTCCAGAAGCATTTTATACTTTATTTACTTTTTAATTATTAGGATGTTCATTACATAAAGAATCTAATTGCCGACAAAAAATATATATTTAATTAAAAAAAATACATAAAGAATCAAGTCTATAAATTTATTAAATGATATATATATATATATATATATATATATTATAGATTAAAAAATTTATTAGGGACTTTAAAACAAGATTTAATGAAGATCATGTTGGATTTTAAATATAAATCGATAAATATACTTCTAATAGGGACAAATTTGACCTAAAACAAGTTCGTAATAAGTAATTGGCAAAATTTAAACATTAAAATTTTTTCAAACAAATCATATTTATTTAAATAAAATATTGTTTGGCCTAACTTATTTCTTTACCTCAATATAATTGAAACTTTATACTCTTATTTTATTTGTATGCATATATTTGTTTAATTAGCATTATGGTTGATTCTCAAATTTTAAAATTTTGAATTTAAGTCTTTAATTTAATAAAATAAATATCCATTTTAGAGGATTAGTCTTAAAAAAATAATTACTTTACTTAAGACATTATGTTAGTTTAATTTCTTGAATTATTTTTAATCACTTAAGTCTTTTCATTTAAACATTAAGTAAATTTAATTATACCATCAACTTTCTTTTATATAAATTCAAAAATTGTTATTTCCTACTCAAAGTCTTCCCAAAATGAATTTATTAAACTGTTTTAATTTCTCTCTATCTTAAAATTCACTGATCAAAATATCAAATTTTACCTAAAATAAAAATATTAATTTCTCCTCTTTAAATTCTAATATCACTTTTTATAAAATCCCTCAAATTTTATTAAATTTCTAACCTTTGAACTTTTAAAATTATTTCATATCACAAATCCATCGTAAAATCACTTAATATTCAGATATAAAATAATAATCAAGAATTTTAGGTAGAAGAAAAACGAATCCTAGATTAAATTTCCTTACTTTTTAAAACAATAATAGTTAATTGAATAAAATAAGCTGAAAGAAAAATAATATATAATCTAAACGAAGAGAATGAAAGAAAAAACATAACAATATTATGAGGTTACCTAGTGTCTTCATTACTATTCCTAAACCAAAGTTGTTAAGACTTAAGAGTATGGTGGGGCTTCAGATAAATTGTATTAAAGTCCTAGGTTTTATTCTTACCCCATTATTATACACCAAAAACATACAATACTAATCCAATCTCTAGCACCTCCAAGTAAACACATAAAAGTGAGAATTGAAGGCACAAAATTGGAATATGCATTCTTCCAAACAAAAGCAACCGACAGAAGAAATATACCACAAAACCATCAATTAGTTGTAACATATCACCCAGGTTACGTAACCTTTTATAATTTTTAAACTAAGTCTTCTATTTTATTTTATTATTTTCCATGCTTTGTGGTATTTTTAAGATTGCTTAAACCGAAATAGGTGGTAAAATAGGTTTGACATGTTGGGTCAATTCTTTTAAATATTTTTTAAGATAATATAAATTGGATCGGGAGTATTTAACCAAGTAATTTATTTGGCTAAAAAAAATAAGCTTTTAACAGGGTGAAGCAAGCCAGTTTACTGGGACAGCCATTTTTAATTAGATAAAAATAATAATTAATTAGTGTAGGATTTTATATTTCCGTTTCATTTTGATACAGAAGTATTGTTGAATTTAAGACCTATTATTGAAGAAAACCCAATTAGTAGAGTTAGATGGAAAATTCAAAATTATTAAGTAGACACAGGTATAAGAAATGTTGGCAAGTTTAACTTTGCAATTATTTTTTTATATTTTACAATTTTATAATTAAAAAAAGTTTTACATAAAAAAAACTTTGTTATTATTATTTTAGCGAAGAAATAAACACAGTACACTTTTTAGTCCATATATTTGGAATGTGTTAATACAGCTGGCCCATTTTTAATGGGCTGGACTAGGCCCTTTTACTATATACCCTTGGTTAATGATATATACACGGCTGGTGATAAACACACCTCCACTCTCATATAAACACACCCCCTTTTTAAAAAAAAATATATAAAATGTCTAAATTACCCTTTAAAAAAAATAAAATTCTTAAATTTACACCTCCCTTCCCCCACCCTCCTTCCCCGCACCCCACATTTCACACCCCTCTTCTTCCCAAAGCCTCTTTCCGCTCAATGTTATTAAGCAATATACTTTTACAGTCATTCTGAATAGAAAAAAAGGACTAGTCCCACCATAATCAGCATAAGAAAGGTTCTTTTACAGTCATAGCATTTCGAAAAGTACTTTTACAGTCATTAGCATTCCGGAAAGTACTTTTCGGAATAGAAATTATTGTTCATATAATTCCGGAAAGAACTTTCCGTAATAGTAACTTTAATATTATGGAAAATACTTTCCGGAATTATATAACAAAATATTTCCGGAAAATACTTTCCGGAATAAGAATTTAATATTATGGAAAGTATTTTCCGGAACATTTTTATATAATTCCGGAAAGAACTTTTCGTAACAGTAAGAAGAAGAAGAAGAGGAGTGCCAGAAAGAGAAAGAAGAGGGGTGCGCAATGTCGGCAAGTGATTTTGTATGAGAAAGACTCTTACTTGTTCTATGAAAAGAAAGATTAGTACAAAAATAACTTTTAAAATCGGGGTTTTAAAATCAGTCATAAGGTAGCCATTTTAAAAGTGACGCGGTGGCCTGTACTGCAACAGAACGGCCCCAGAACGGCCCTTGCTGCAAGCAGAACGGCCC